GGGGGGGGGGGGAACCAGTGAGCCAGTCCTCACTGCTCCAGCCAGGAAGCAGAGGGGTGGGGTCAGCCCTGCTCTGGAGCAGACAGCACAGCCCAGTCCAGGGCTCCAAATGCTAGGATGCTGGGAAACTCTAGATTTAACTTGAACCAGGAAGGGGTCTGGGACAGAAGTTGCATAAACTGGTTTGACTTAAATCAATTACGTCTTATACTACATTCAACCACGTTTATCTTAAACAAGTTTCAGCCATTTTGAACCTGGTTTACATGCATTGAGCTTCTATTCTGGTTTAAACCAGTTTCTGGTCATTTAAACCAGTTTACATGCAACTTCTGTCCCTAACCCCAAAGTCTGAAATGTCAGACTCATGCTTGGGAGTTCCTCTATGGCTGCAAACAGAAACCCCCCTCCCCCCCCAGCTTTCTGAATCAAGAGTCTCCTTTCCTGCTGTTCCAGTTTCTAAGCACTTGTGGTATATGTGAGCATGTAAACAGCAAACAAGGCATTTGTTCTTTAGCACTCAAAACAGTCAGATATTTCCTGTCCTAAAAATTCTTTCAGAATTAAATGAACAAAACAGATTGATTACAGAGAAAATGGACTACAAAAGCAACAACATTTTAAAACGGGAAAAGCTTATGGGAAACCCTTCTCCGTTTCCACAGAAGTTTAAAAAAATTCTTTGGTGTGAATTTGCTAGCATGGCTCTGAGGTAAACATCAGAGTTACAAATATTGGACATGCTAATTTAAATTCTACTGGAAAGTTTAAGGAATCGGCTTCACTAGTGTTGCTGTAAAAAGTCTTACTTTGATTTAAAGAAAAATTTTCAACAGCTTTTAAATTCCACTTATGCAAGGGTTAGAAATTCAGTCCTATACACTTCCTTCATAAAAGCAAAATTAGTAAAATAATTGAAGACTAATAACCACGTTCAAAAACAAACGTTGTCATTTAATAATGAAAGCTCATTATTGAACAATGCAGATTAGTCAGTTCACTCAACACCTTTCTATACTGGTTTTAAATGCATTTTACAAGAGTAGTTCACTTATTTTTATTTTTCTGCACTTCATTCAGTTTCATTGCTGAGGACAGGTAAGTCAGTATCATCTTCTAGTTCTTGTACTAAGTGACTGCTACCATCATTATGTTGCGTACATTAGAGGAATATTTTTTATTTTAAGTGCTTTCTAAAATGTTTTAATGAATTAAACATTAACAGCCGCTGGTTTTAGTATAGACAATCTGCAAGTTCTGCTTTAATAGGAAGCCAGCAATTTTATACTTACAATACAGTTGTATTGTAAGAAAAAATAATAAGCAGGAAGTATTTAATACAAGAGTGCTTGGCCAAGATAAGCTTATGAGAGAAAAATGCAGAAGTAAATCTTATGCAAAGTTTCAAGCTAGAAATTGTAATAAAAATGTAAAGCTTTATAAAAGCTTCTCTCTCTCTCACACATAATAAAATTATTTCCTAAAACCAATTGATTTAAAGAACAAAAATGTTCATGGCATCAGCTGGTACACAGGTCTTAAACTTTCTTACTGTATTTACTCTTTAACCGTTACAACTGAAAATGCATTGTCAAAGTTTGGTCATCTCAAGTGACCAGATGCATTCTATTTGTTTTCCAAAGTGACGGTTCCTTTATTTCTTTGGAGCCACTTGGTCAACTTCTTAAATGGACAAATACTTGTGTAACACTAAAGTTAATACGACAAACCAGGAAATAACTAAATATGGAATAAAAAGTTATCTGTAATTTTACAGTAACTGTCAGAGCATTATAACAGAGGAAAGTGTTAACATTCTGAGAGGAAAAACCCTAAAATGTAATCAAGCCACAAAGCTACTGGACTGAACTGGACTATAGTCAGAGTAGGCACAAGCCCCCCATGTAGATATAAGCCATCATTCAATCTGAATAAACCATGCCACATACACAAGAGATTTTCCAGAGTCCCTTAACTATAAGGTCGTAACTGTCCAGCTACTTTATAAAATATTTGTATATTATTTGTAAATATAATATGCAATACAGCACTTCATACATTTAAAAAAGCAAAAAGTATCTTTACAATATTAGCATTTTGGTTGAATGAGAAAGAAGATAAGAGAAAGCAAAGGCTAAGATAAATAAATTAAGAAAAACTTGGGTGCGTGTCTTAATTTTAAGGAAATACAGAATCAAGCAAACATTAGATTGTAGAGGGACCAATGCTGTAAAATATTACTCACTAATGAGTCCTTAAAAAAGTCATGTCACCAAACTATTTATATAAGTGCCAATGAATTAGAGACTGCCTGAATGAGTAGTTTTTTGAACAAAAGTGGGTCCCTGGGCTTTTAGAAAATGAAACAGTTGGTCTAAATTGAAATGAATTGAATTTGCATCCCTTTTGTTTGTATGAACATGACCTGTGTGATAACGCAGGCAATCTTCAAACAGTCTGAATTCATCTGTTCTCATATCATATGTTCAATCATTAGCCAAGAAGAAAGTTATATAAAACTTAAGCAAACTTAAATCAATCTTTAACAGGAGTCCAATTTTTCAGGTCTACTGCAAGCAGTTACCATGCTGCAAGCACAAGTAACATTTAGCATATGATGCAATGCCCAATCAAGGGTAGGGAGATAACTTGGTGGTGAAATTCCTATGCACAACAAGGAGGTGAAAAGGACAGAGGAGGCCTTAATGTCCATTCACTTGAGGGTTTGACTACTACTTTAACATCTTTGCCTGTTTTTCCTTAGAAATGAATGTAATGATAGAAAAGCACCCAAAGTGCTGTGTTACTTTTGTTTCTGTAACAGTGTAACAGAAGGGACATTCATCTGTAGGGGATGTCTCATGGTGAGCCAAGACCAGGCTAAGCCTGGGAGATTTTTTGTCCCGCTGAGGACACCAGAACAAAAGGCCTGGAGCAATCTTGCCTGCAGACCCTGGAAACAAGGTCCCTCTCAGAACCCCAGAGTTCCCCAGCCAGGATGAGCGGCTGCCAGGGTCTGTGGCAGCAAGTTGACAGTTGGGAGCTGAGGGAGGGACACACCACTGTGAGGCGACTGCAAGGATCTCTGGAGGACCAGAGCCATGAATGAGGGAAGCGAGCAGAGCCCAGAGATGAGCCTGGCTCTGAGTCAAGGGGAAGCACCTGGGGCCTAGAGTTTGCAAACAGGCATAGCCCTCATCTTGTAGTGGACCCTCATGTGGGGGGCTCTGGTCCTGGTTGCTCACTCCCTCATAGACCCACCAACCCTGTCTGAGGGGCAGAAACTATTATAAATAGTTACCTATTCTGTCAGAGTGTATTTACAGGAGGTATCCCCATACTGGGATGCTGAGGTTCCTCGTTAGCTCAAAGGAACCAAAAGGACGGTCTAGCTGGTACCCCACGGTTCCACAAATTGCCACGGGCAGTGGTTAGCACCCCACAGCAGGGTGTTACAAAAGAAAAAACTCTACGCTTTGATCCAACTACTGCTTTTATAGACATGAATCCTAACTGAAACAAGATTCTTAAATAGAATTAACCATGGCCCCTTCTGTTAATGGCACGTGTAGCTAGTGACACATGGACAGTTACAGTCCAGAGCACAAATAACAATTTTACAAAGAGAAAGCTGAACTAAGCCAGGACCAGACAACAGAGAGGCTATGTTAATAAGGAATTTTATACTTGGACACATTTGAAAGAGAATACCATATTTTCTCACATAACACACATCTTAATGTCCATTAAGATGTACATTCTTCACTCTGCCTACCTAAAAAAAAGATTTTTCCAGAGTTACTGCCACCTAGAGCAGGAACAGAGCCCCATCTTCAGCTCCCCTTTCTGCTCAGGCAAAAGCTAGTTTTAACCCTTTCACAGCAAAACTGTCAGCAGCTCTTGGCTGCTCAGCCAAAAACTGAAACTGTAGCTGCTGCTGAAGACTGACCTCCATAGAATCTAGGATTTTGAAAAAAAGCTAAAAACAGTCTGGAGGACTGTGAAATCACAGACCAGAAGCCACGAGTAGCTAACAAACAGAAAATTAGTCAAAGAAATTAAGCATATCACAGCAACATCCATTTAAAGGTTTCCTTTGTCATATTATTAGGATAATTATTCCATATTACTGTCAGCATATATTTCAAAGTATTTTAAGTTGCATTCACTGACAAAGTAAATGAATTTACAACAAAAAGTTGGGAAATGCCTGATCTTTTAAAATATTTTTCTTACCATCCACAAGATTGAACCTGTAGGCTGCTCAACCTGCTGTGATCCACTCCATCTGGATTTTACTGTTGCCAGACCGAAATCTCCTATTTTAACTGTACGGTCCTCATGAAGAAATATGTCTGAAATGTCCATTAAGGAATTTCTATTCAAAGTTCACGTAAGTCAGCCTGGTCCAACACATTTCATGCAGTGTCTGATTAGGACAGCAAAAAACATTTTTAAGTTTAGAGTCTTCCCTGAAACACCTTCAAATAAGTCTGCCTCTTTAATAATCTTTAATTATACACACAGAGAACATCTAACACTCGGGGGAAACTCTGATATTCAAATAGAGAGGACAGAACAATAGGACTAGCCAGTTCCAAGTTATTATTTAATGCACTAAACTTAAACACCATGGAGCTGACCAATAAAAGTATTCTTTGAGGAGGTTGCTGGAGAGGGGGAGAGGTGAAAGGAAATGAACATCCAAATTTAGTTTGAGAACTAGAACACTTCAATTCCAAAAGATGCTACAGATATGCGAGAGGCAGATATCCCTCACTTTAAGTCATCTAGTAGACCTTAATGAGAAGAGCAGACTAAATTAGGTTAATGAAAAATAGTTGCACTGTAAATGTCCACAACAACTCTCTTGTCTTACACTGAAAATGAGAAGCCGTATTTGCTTAGAGAACTGAGGTTGGCAGGTGTTCTATAATGGCCTTCAATAAAAAAAGCTTCATTTTCCTTTTTATAATGGCAGAAAGTTGCCAGAAGTAGATGATATTCAGTAAATAGAACATTTATTCTGTACGTATTTGGTTGGTATCTCCGATAGGAACTTACTAGTGAAACCCTACCACTTTTGTTCATCAAGTTTATAACAAAAGAAAATTTGTGGCTTAGTTACTGCCAAAATTCACCCCACTTTTTAAAGTCATCTAGTCATATATGGAAAATATAAATAAGTAGATTATGATTCCCCTTTAAAACATTTTTGTAAGATGGTGATATCCTGTAAAAGACAAGTAAATTAATAACCGGTAACTTCTGGAGCATCATTTTTGCATTCCAAAGGTGTCTATGCACATGGGTAGCAAAGAATGAGCATATAAACTCCAAGCCTCTACCTGCCTCAGAGATTATTTGTTGTTTTAAAAAATTACCGTAAAAAAGCTGGCAGGGAGAGGGAGGGAGGGGAGTGGGAGGGAGAAGGGGGGACAAGGTGGTGGCACACTACTGCTGCCGGGCCCTGCCAACAGCTGAAAGGGAAGGGAATGGGGAGGGGGGCAGGTGAATGCATCATTCCTGTCAAAACCATTCTGCCCTGTTGTGGTCTTTCTGAGTTCTTTACAACAGAAAAATTGCTCTATTATATTTTTCTGTAGACAAAAAAACAAGTGAAAACGAAGAGCTGGCATTTTCTGAGGGATGCCTAGAGTCCAATGAGGGGTGCTGAGTCAAAAATGTTTGATAACCACTGTTCTAAGACAGAGGATGTATAAAATTTAACCTCAAGTCTTACAATTGTTTCTCTGGCATGTGAGCAACACCTCAGTCTTTTATGGATTAAGAGACAACATGTTATCTGTATTACTCGTATTCTATTTTACATCCATCTTTGCATTTCAAATTGTAATACATAACTTTGGATACAATGGTATGATTTTGATTAAATAAATGATGTCGCCTATTTTTTAGGCATTTCAAATACACTCCATAGCATATGTGTTTACATACCTTTTATATACATTCATGTTTAAATTATTTTCAAGTTTATAAAAAGTTTAACACATTTTTAAAGCTGCATTTTTAAAGCTCTCATTTTTCTCCTTTACTACTTCACAATGGTTTAAGAGATTATAATCAAGATTTTAAAAAATTAAATCAATTTTCTGTCTACTGTACAGGGTGATGAAGAAGTCAAGACCCATGGGCATTATAACATTTATTCTAGTAAATGTTCAAACTGACTACCATTAACTTCAACACATTTCTCAATTCTCTTTTGAAATGATGCTAGGGCTTTTCTTTCATTAATTTGTGGTATTTTTCACCTAAAAAATTACAAAAGAAAAACAATTAATAAATATGTTATAATATCTATGGGTCCTGGCTTTTGGGCCATCATGTACATCAGAGCCTCCAAAACAAATTTTTGTTAAAATAATAATTCATGATGGGATTAGAGGAAAGCAAATACAAAGAATATTTTGTTTAAAAATGTGTTTTAAAATCTGCTTTTTAACCTATTATCCAATTGCTAATCTACAGCCCCGAAGGAGGGGGTTGGTGGGGGAAAGGAACGGGCCTGGCCCCGAAGCAGCAGGGGTGAGAGGGGAGAGAGCAGGCCCGTTTGCCTCCTCCCCTGACTGGATGAGAAGCGGGGGTGGGGACGGGACCAGACATGGGACTCTGCCCTGCCCGACGGCAGGGAGCGCACCACTGCCACCACTGGCCCCTGACAAAAGCCAGGAGGGAGGGAGGGCACAGTGATGGCATCCCGCTGCCGATGCTGGGCCCTGCCAACAGCTGGGAGGAAGGGGAAGGGGGAGGAGGCAGGTGAACGTGGGTCAGGTAGACACGGAGCACAGGGGCAGGGGGAATGGGCCCGGACCAGAAGCAGTGGGGGAGGGGAGGGGAATGGGCCCTGACCCCAAGGTGGGGGATGGGGGAGCAGGGCCAGACCCAAAGCATGGCGGGGGGGCCAGAAACAGGCCTCTCTCGCAGCCACCCCCTCAATCATTCTTGATAGGCAATTGGCTAGTGAGCATATAAACTCTAAGCCTCTATCTGCCTGAGAGATTATTTGTTCTTTTAAAAAATGATGATAAGTATAACTGGGAAGTTTCAATTTCACAGAAGATTTTTACAGCAATCGTAGTCAGTTATGCTGATGCAAGTTAAAACGGTTGAAAACAACATTAAACGAAGAAAAGGATACTATTTGATTTCATGTCTCTGTGGATGATATTCTTTGCATGTAGATAGCTGTGAAAATAAAAAGTACTTTTAAAATTTCTGAAGTGGAACATATATTCATATTATATAGGCAAGCCAAAATTAATATAAATAAAAGCACAAAAATTATAAAATTACCCTGAATTAATTATAAAATAACAATGGCAAATATTTAAAGGTCATAATTCTATTTGTGTTAAAAATCAAAAACTAGATGCTGTACACCCTTAATAATGTACGTTAGTTTTAATTTCACCTGTCCATAATTAAGATTAAAGTGACAGAATACCTATTATTTCTGTAGATTTTTCATAAAGAGATTTATGCTTATCTTCCATTTTGCTGTTTAGACAGTACCAGTGAAAACTTTTCCTTCAATAGGAAGAAACATTATAGGAATTGTCATTACCCTTCCCTATGGGTCTTTTTATCCTGAAACAGTCACAAAAAGTAAAGGCAACCCCCACCATGAAAGTAAAATCAGTGATGCCTATTATTGTATTAATCTATGTTTAATTATGATTAGATTCATTATGAATTTATACCTGCAAAACTTAAATGAATTTAAACTTGCTTTGACAAATTAAGATCAAAACTGTATCTTCCATCTTCTCCTTCAGAAAGCAAATCAAACAGTTGTGTACTTCTAATTCCAAGCTAACTATAAGTCTGCAAACTGACATCCTCTAAAAGGGCATCTTGCCACTACCCTCCCATCTCATATCTAAGAGCAAGAGCAAAGCACTAGACTCTGCAGAATTTTTTTCTGCATAACATTTTTAACTTACTTAAACAAAGGTATTATATCATCCACAACGTCATTTGAAAGCCCCTTGATAACATTATCTTTTTTAATGATTTATAACAGATGGTGGAGTATGAACATCATTTTCAAACCCCACGAGTTTTAGGGCAGTGATTCTCTACATTAGTTTTTCCTAAAGATGATCAAGGGATCAGAATAGATCAAACTGCCAATCCTACTCACTCCATTCCTTGTGCTGTCTGTCGGGCAATTTCAATACGCTGGAACATTTCGAATTTGGCCTCTTGAACATGAATACGTTTATACAGACTGCTTCCTTCACACCACTGTGTAACAATAGCCAGATTATCTTTCGTCATGTAGCCCATGAATAACAAAATATTTACATGCCGTGTTTTCCTAATGGAAAGAACAAAGGAAGAATGACTATCTTCTTTTTTTTTTTTTTTTTTTTTATTCCCTGAAGTAGGTATTCTTGGTCATGGGGACACTGTCAAAGTTCCCAATCAAAAATATAACCTCTTCCCTCAAAACTATTTATGAAATATACACATATATGTTAAAGGGTTCTTTTAAATTGTTAACAAACATACCATAATTACCTGTTACTAATTAGGAGAATAAGCATGTCTTCTAAACTTTGTGGGTTTTTTCTACTTGATGCAAAAACATTTTCAGAGCCCAAATAAATACAAATTATTACTTAATATAATCATCCTAATGCTACAGGTTTCCCTTGCTTTACGTGGTTTCTGTATGTGCCAATTTTCTCTTATGCGATGACCCTTTTAATACCAAAATACTGTTATATGCGAGGTAAATTCACTCTTATGCTATCAGTGTGGTGGAAGCCCACAGTCAGCTGCTTTGTGCAGGGCATTGTGGGAGTGGCATGCACCAAAATCTCGTCTCCTGTGTGGATCTGAGCTCCTCGCTTGTTGTCTGTGACGCGTGTTTCTGTAGTTGCTATCCCCATTATGATAGAATATCCTGTGTGTACTGTCTGCTGTTGGCGAGTACCAAAATTGTCTTGTGAAAGTGGTAGAAATGGGTCTGGAGGTCAGTACAGTGGAGGTCTTGGAACATATCCTTATTTGTTACATCGCAAAGTAGGTTCCCTTATGCAAATCTGAGTTATGCATTGTTTATCATAAAGCAAGGGAAAACTATACTAAGAAATGTATTACTCCAATATGTTTAATTTACAACCTAAAATAATTCACAAAGGTGATAACAGTTGTTCTCTCATGCACTAACTGGCTCTTAATTGTAGGACTCAACTTCATTACAATGGACTGTCCAAAGATATGGGGCAGGAAACAGACAGTAATTAAAAGCAAAGAGGTTCAGAAGTACGCTAAAACAGTTAAAAACACATAAATCAAGTTCTACCTGGGCCACCACGGGGACAGGGGCAGCAGCAGGCAGGTTTTAATGCCCCAGCCACCCACTTCTGGCTCAGGATGGGTCATTCTGGTCCATGGACAGAAAAGGTTGCCTACCCTATCAAACAATAGCAATTTTTCCCAATAAAAAGTGAGATGGCATAGTGCTGCAAAATGTTATCTATCAGCTCACCTTAATACAGCCACTTCATTTCTGAAGGCCTGAAACTGTTCTGGGGTTGGATCTACAACCTTTAGTATCTTCACTGCTACATCCCCTGCAAATATATTTACCACGAGTTACCAACAATGAAACAGTCCTTAAAAAAAATAATAAAAATCAATTCATCTACATTGACATGCTCTGAAATTTTTGAACAACACCACATCTTTAATAACTTCTATAGAAGAAAACATTTCTGGAGACTAAATAAATTCTTGAGCTGTCAGTAATTCATTTGGTTGAGATGGGGCCATAAAACCCAAACTAGAAGAGTTAATCTTTTAAATAGTTAAAGAATGTGTTCTATTCACTTACTGACTAGCTAGCAAATGGCCCAAAAAGGCACGTGCATGCTGTTTTATAGAAGTTGCAGAACAAGTAACTGAAATCTAAAAGGTAGGGGTGCACGGACAAAGATTTTTTTTGGCTGATACCAATGGGCAATTATTAACCAGCCATATCGGCCAATACCAATCCACTAGCTGATATGCAGCCTGGCAGCTTAGAGAACAGCTCCCTGCTGGTAAGTCTGTGGAAGGGGAAGGGTGTTTGGGCAAGCACTGCCCAGCCAGGGAGGTGAATGTGACCCCGGGAGCGGGACAGAGCCATGGGCAGCTCATCTGGCGGTATAAGGGGGGCGAGGAGAGGGGGTGGCTCCCTGCCACTGTGCAACCCCCCAGGGAGGTATGGGGGGCATGTGCCCTCCAGATTTGTGCGCAGGGTGAAGTTGGGTTACCTGCTGCAGGCTCAAGGCCAGGAGCTGTGCTAGCCTCTTCCCAGAGGGATGGCTACTGGGTGGGCTATAACCACCCCAAAATTCCTTGTAACCCCTCCCTCCCAGTGCCACTGCCTGCCCCACACATAGCCCCAGACCAGCCCAGAACCCCGCCACCGGGAAGAGGCTGGCTCAATCCCTGGCCCCAAGCCCACAGCAGGAAGCTTGCCCTCACCCTGTGCACAAATTCAGGGAGTCACATGCCCCCTATGTCTCCCCTGGGGTGCACACAGATGAGGAGCTGCGCTCCCTCCTACACCCCTCCGAATAAACGTTGAAAATAAAACTCGCATCTAGAGGACACCAGCAGAAACTATGATAAAGATTAATTTAAAGTTCGTAGACAAAGAAACTGTAGTATAGTATCTACTCTTTAACTATTAACTATTTGATACATCACATAATAGCTAGGGATCTCCAGAATTTGCACTGGAAAGATGTGGTGGGTCAGCTTCTTTAATCTTGGTGCTTTAAATATGCTGCAGTTTTCACTTCCCCACCATCAGGTGCAGGCAGCGAGCATAGGTGGCAGGGGGGCAAGCAGAGGGAACTCCAAGATAAAGAAGCTGCACACTTCCCATGCAAATTCCAGAGACCCATAATGATAACATATGACCTGAAAAGCTAATGAATTAAATCTCAATGAAAACCTGTTTTGGATTTGAGAACACACCCCCAAAGCAACTTAAGTTCACCATATTGCACCATATCAAATGTTTTACTGATATCTACCACATTCCTTATGTATAAAAATGATTAGTTTTTATCTTGGTCTATCACAGTCCACTTTGGTAAAGTCATTTTGCATTTTATGCAATTTTCCATTTACCTTCATCTCTAGCCATTCTTTCATTAAAAGTTATACATTACAAGATTTAAGTCGTAAATTTAAGAGTAAAATTAATTCCTTCCAAAGGATTAAGTTTCTGAACTAAATCATAATACACTCAGGTTTCCTCACCTTTCCAATATCAGCAAGAAAAGAAAAAAAATCTAAGTTGAAAGCTAGGATTTATTTTCAAAGCAAATATGCCTGCAGGGAATTCATAATACTCAACAAAAATGGACATGTAATGATGAAATGAGCAACAAAAAAAGGAAGGGAACAAAACCAGGAAAGTTGCTGAGAGAATGATGGACCTAGCAAGTGGTAATAAACATGTAGCTATTTTGAGGCACATAGGATTAAAGCAAGAAGCCAGTTAGCATTAGAGCAGAGCCAGCTGCCCTGCTACAGTTGAGAAAATTGAGAACGCCATTCTAAGTTGCACATTTATTCTGATGGCCCTAAAATTCATGTGCCTTATGGAATCACAGGATATTCCTGTTCCAAATCTGGGGTCATCTGAGCCAGAGGTGTCTAACATACAGCTTCCTCTTCTCCCTGGAGTGGGCCTGGGACAGAGGGGGGGAGAGGAGAGAAAGAGGGGGTGTGGTAAATCTTTCCTAAACGTTAACTGACTCTACCAAGGTTTTGAGCACATTTGAGGATTGAACTACAAACAGATTTGATTGTGCCCAAAATGCTCTGTCAGTGAAGTAATTCCAGCTAGCTCACAGTACCCACTGAGAAAGCATAACCAACAAAAAATAGGCTCTCTAGATAGTTGCAAACCTAATGCTCTAAACCACAAAATATATTATGCAGCACAAAGTTGTTTTTAGCTTGCCAGGCGTTATCTAGGTGGCTCATGGGACCATCAGAAGCCACTGGGGTTGACCAGCTAGCACGTGGCAGTTGGTATGCCAGTCCTTTCCAAAAAATCAAAACAAAGGAAAGCATCTTGCTACAGTCTGCTTCTGTAAAAGGGTTTTTTAATTATTATTCTGAGACAACTACTGCAGCACAATCCAAAATTAAGGCACTCCAACTACTATCAAATAAGCTATAATGCCCACAAGCACCACAGAATGCCATGCCAACAATCAAAACATCCTCAATTTTCATCCCTAAAAAGCTTATAGATGTAAGTAAACTCAATTCAGAGTAGAAAGCACTATTTTCTAATTTACTCACTTAAGCACCGCAGACTTCTTGTTTATTCTGCAGCTGGAATTAGGTTCAGAACACATACAGATGCTGTATTTATTAAGGGTGTGCAAAGCTTCAGGTGCTGATTTGATTCGGAGAAGATTCAGCCAGATTCAGAGGCCAAATCACTGAATCCGAATCGAATCGGGAGACCAAAAAAACCCTCTGAATCAATTCATAAAAGATTCAGAGATTTGGAAGGCAGTCTTTCAGGGGAACAGAAACTGAGAAGAGGGAGAGGGAGCAGGGGGGAAAGCCTGACATCTCTAGCTTACTGGTGACTGTGATCTTTCCCCGAGTTCCCTTCAATCATTGTGCTGGGGAGGGGGAGGGACATAGAAACAGCATATAAGCCTCTGAAAGGTACTACTGGACTGGCTTGGCTTCCTAACTCAGTCTCCTGCTAGTTTCTGTTCTTGGAAAGGATTGGATACAGTTTACTAGCTAGAATCTCTCTACTTATCCATATGCAAACCATTTCTTTCGACTTATTCTTCCCCCCAAAATTTCTTATTTGTTCTTGTTATTTCCAACCCCCACACACGCATTAAAAGAAAACTGTGTTTTCCATGGCAGTGTGATCCATCACTGTGCAGGAAAGCACATACATTACACACACACACACACACACAGAGTAAACACAACAGAGAAGAAGTGATAGTACTAGTCAGACACACACAGTAATCAAAGAAGAAAAGATATTAGTTAGTTACTCACACACACACAGAAGAAGAGATATTAGGGCTGCACACGCACACAGACACATTTTCCAGCATAGGAAAGATTAATGTGAAGCGTGCTGGAAAGGCAGGTGCCAGGTCCTCTGGCAGGGAAGGGAGAGGGGCTAGAGGGGTAGGGGGAGAGCTGCAAGTTCCCCTCATCTCCCCCAAACATAGATGCCTCCTCTTTCCTGGCAGCCATAAGTCTTCTGCTGCCAGTGGGAGCAAGGAGGTGGGAACAGTACCTGTCCCTGCACCACCTCCCCCAATACCAGAAATAGCTACCACCACCAGAATGACCGTCTCCTCCACCCCAATTTAATCTCCCAGTGTGAGCCTCCCAGTGCTAGAGGAGGAGCTGGATCTGGAATCAGGGGATTCTAGGTACTCAGCCCTAGAAAAAAATTCTGGGTAACGAGGGGGAATCTGAGTTTGTGCTCCACACTCCTCAAAGTTTCCCTAGAGTCAGGTCTCCTTCTCCAGAAAGCATCTTGGAAGAGGTTGAGGTTGTGAAGGCAAGTGGCTCAGCCGAGTCAGCTCCTTCTGTTGTTGTGCCTCAGCAGGCTGAGAAAGGGGATGAGACAGGATCCCCACCCTCAACCCAGAAGCAGGGGAGTAGTGTAGTGTGGGATCATTTTGAAGTGGCAGATGATCCCAAGTATGCTATCTGCCATCACTGCCAAAGGCAGATCAGCTGGGCCAAGGAGATGAAACACTTCAGCTCCATGGTGATGCTACTGCATCTCAGGAGGCAGCAGCCCCTTGCCTTTGCTCCTCCTCAGCCTGGCACCAGCAAGAAGTCCCCCTCTTTTTTCCCCCTTTTCTTTTTTCTTGTTCAAAAAGAAATCCCCTTCTTGCTCCAAAGCCCCCGTTCCCATGAAGCAGAGGCAGGCCTCCCTGGACCGGTGGAGGAAGCCACAGACAAAGAGAGGCATGTTGCAAGGGTGAGTGAGGCCACACAGAACATTGGGGAGATGCTTGCTCTGGATGGCCAGCCCTTCTCCTTAGTTGAGTGGCCAGGGTTCAAGTGGCTCATGGCGCTCGTGGCCCCAACATACCAAGTGCCTGCATGCACCACCTTTAGCAGGACGGTGGTGCCCTCCCTGTATAAGGAATGCAGCAAGTACTTGAGGAAGGAGCTGAGCAAGGCAGGGCCTCAGGTAGCCTTCCACTTCACCTCTGACATCTGGAGCAGCTGGGGTGGAGATCATGCCTACCTCTCCCTCACAGGGCACTGGTGTGATCAGTCAGGCTGTCGGTGGGCTCCCCTACAAGTGGAGGTGATGGAGGAATCCTACATGGCCATGGAGATCATGGTGGCCATGAACCACATGGTGCAGGGGTGGCTTGTTGGGCAGGGAGAGCTCACCCATGGGTTCATGGCCACCAACAACGGGGCCAATATGGTCAAGCCGGTCCATGATGCCAACTTTGTTGGCATCCGCTGCATGGCACACAAGCTACACCTCATAGTCAGGGATGCCTGGGAGGGGGACAGGGTTGCTGGTGATGGCACTGTCACTACCACC